AAGAATACTGGTGTGTATCTGGGCAAATTCCCATCTGGATATTGCTCAACCTACCATAGCCCGCCTGTATCACTGCTAATGAATCATGCAAAGACAATTGGAGACATCTATTGGTTATGTGGCGACAGACAATTGAGGTCCCAACTGGCTGGGCAATGGTGGGGAGAGTGTGCCCTGACCAAAGTTATAATGCCCATCCACATTATCCCAGACAGTAGCCATAACACACTAGACCACACACACGTACATCCTAGAACTAGACGTGAGGCCCCCGTCCGAGGGAGCTTCGACCCCCACGTATATATTGATGCTATTGGTGTGCCAAGGGGGGTGCCTAGCGAATTCAAAGCGAGGGATGAAGTGGCAGCAGGATTTGAATCCTTGATTCCAATGATAACTGCTAATAAGAATGTCAATTGGATTAATTACATTTACTATAATCAACAGCGCTTTGTCAACTACACTAGGGATGCCCTACAGGGCCTGGCAGAACAGTTACAAGCCACTACCCAAATGACATTTCAGAACAGAATGGCCCTAGATATGATTTTAGCCGAGAAAGGGGGTGTATGTAAGATCCTCCCTGAAACTATGACATGCTGCACATTCATTCCAGACAACACTGGGCCCAATGGTAAGGTAACTATGGCCATAGAGAAGCTAGATAGCCTTTCTGATGAGCTAAAGAAGAACTCAGGAGTCACTGACACTTGGGACAGATGGTTTGGATGGATGAATGGTTGGCAAAGGACCCTAATCCAGGTAGGAACGGCTGTTCTCATAATGATTATCATTTTCTTATTCCTAACCTGTTGTGTGCTCCCTTGCATACAAAAGTACTTACAGAAAGCAGTAGGGAAGACTATAGATGACGTGACTCCTACTTTCCTACACCAAGACATCACAGACCTCGAAAGTGACACTCCACATACACCCCTCCAGTCACATCAGTTCAAACAGACAACTGCATTTCTGTAGGGACAGTGTAGGGAAAGCGTCTGTCTCTACGGGCAAGTCTCACTTGCGGAGATGTGGTGGACTAGCTACTGCGGGTTACCCACGGAGTGAAGAGTTCGATGCTTGTGAAGGCAGATGAGCTGCAGGCAGCTAGGGATACACTAGGGACAGTGGCAGTTGTCATGGTAAATAGCCATTTTAGGGGGGACTGTTGTGGAAATAAGGTCTGCACATATTTCCTAGTTAGTGAAAATGTCTATTTACTCATTCCACGATATACATTATAAAGCTATACACACATATTTTAACCAAGATGGCTGCTAGAAGCTTCTAACCCTTTCCCCCCCCCCACTTTTTCTCCCTTTAACACCGACTAACTACCTCGTGCAGCAAGATGGCGCCGGGAAACCGTGGGAGACCCTCATGGTCCTGGTGACATCACCCTCAGTAGGCAGAGCATTAGGAAAACCACTTAACACCTAACCAATTATTGATGTATTATTCCATGTTATCTCTGACAATGCTTATGATGTAATTTTGCTTTAAAAGGGACCTGCCGTCCCCCCTGAATAAACTTTCCTCAAGTTATTCAACAACCTGGAACCTGTGTCTGGTGTGAATTACTTCAGGGAGCGTGCACACACTGTTTCACTGATTTGGCCAGGGGCAGATACACAAAGAAATAATCAATGTATTGATTGATTTTTCCATTTCACCCCTTAAGGACCAAACTTCTGGAATAAAAGGGAATCATGACATGTCACACGTCATGTGTCCTTAAGGGGTTAAATAACTGTCTTGAATTGTTTATGCCTCCAGCAATATACTTTATATCTAATCTCCTTGTTTTAAACCTGGTAAAACAGTGTCAAACAGTTGTTTTCTAAAAGATTTTTAATCAATAGACCTTCTGTCACTCCATCCATGTTGTGTGTGAGGGTACAGTTAATGTTTAACCTGTCAAACTCTGGTATTATAAATTATTACATGAAAAAAAATAAGTAAACCTCAAAGAATCTACTCCAACTCCACTTTATTTGAACTGCAGAGTAAATAACCATGTCTATTAAACTAGCTCATCTGCTAGCCTAGACTATTTTCACTGGCTGGTTTACATCTGCCAGGGAGCTTCTGTCACTATGGAAACCGACTAGGTTTGGTCACATGGAACATACCAGCGCAGAAGTTACTGGGTGCGGCGTGATGACGTGGCAACTTTCTATTGGTCTGCCTGTACAAGGTTTGCCCGGGAACTGGAAAAGGGGGCGTGGCTTGTGACAGGAACCAGGAAGGAAGGGAAAAGCTAAACATAGACAGTGGAGGAATGGAATGGAATGGGGCGGCTGTACTAAGCTTTTTATGTACAGCTCCAGCTCTTTATATAGATACACATATATACTGGGATCAAGCCTGCCAGTGGGTGGGAAGGGCTAGTATTGGGCTGCAGAACAGAGAACCCTGAAAATATAACAACAACAAATAAAAAATCAACAACAGTAACAGCCAAAAAAAAATAAGGAAACCTGCAAATATATAGGAGACTTGTAAACAAGTTCACAGACAATACAGGTAAGCTAAAATATGGGGGGTGTTATTAAGTGGCTGGAGTTTAACCCCTTAAGGGCACATGACATGTGTGAAGGGTCATGATTCCCTTTTATTCCAGAAGTTTGGTCCTTAAGGGGTTAAAATAAAATGTAGGCTGGGTGGTTGAATTGCAGTAGGTGCATACCCACAACACCCATAATACTCTGCTGTCCGTTTTACTAATTAGGTAATATGGGAAACATAGTTCTTGAAAAATGGGTTTGGAAAAATGATACGGCATTGCTATGTTGGCTAGTGTAAGTTAAATGACAATGTGAATTGTGGGAATATGTGATGAGACTGTTTGTTTTACCAGGTAGGGTATGTGTAGATGCAACGTAGTAGTGTGCTTAACATGATATGGCCATATTGTAACTGAAGGTAGGTGATTTATTTTTATTTTTTCATAATCTGTTAAAATGTAAAACTGTACTTTTGTATTTGTGTGTGTGTGTGCGCTGTTCCTTAATTTGTAAATATATTTTCGTTTTACGGCAGCACCTCTACATTGAAATGCATGTTCCAGGTGAACCCCAAATTTCCCTCTTTGCAGGATATGTGAAGATGACAGAATTCTTTTGTTATGGGCATTTGGATAGAAAAGTTGGGGAAGTATAAGTGTGAATTGTTGAGCTGTTTTCCGGGTAATATTGATAGTTATTCACTAAACTCTGAATTGTATTGAATTGAAAGCTGAATGACCCAACTGAGTAAAATAGTTGCTCAAGAATCACTATATACCAGTTTGGCTGGTTTTGCCTACATTTAGATTCTAAATTGCAAACGTAGCTGTAAATAGCTAAACTCTTGTTTTATTTATTTGCCTAGATGACCGACTCTTCTCCTGCCTCCATGTTTAGCATAGCCGAATACGCCCCTGAAGAACAGGGTGCCTCTCTTCCTAGCACAAGCCCACCTTCTTCGACAACCTGCAGTGTGGCTCAAAGCTCTCCAAATCTGAGAAGAAACAGAGGTGATAGACGACCGTTTCTATGACATGGAAATTAATGCAAAAATAAAATGTTGTGTGAGAGACTTTTTTCCCTTTCCATTTATTTTACATTGATATGTAGACAGCCATGTGTTACTAGGAGTGGCCACCACAGGCGTTCATAGGCACTAATGTAAATACTGCCTTTTCTCTGAAAGTACAGTGTTTACAGCAAAATGTCTGCATTACGCTGTAGTTGTTCTGGTGACTGTAGTGTCCCTTTAAGCTTTTTTTTGGTTTTTTTTTTTAAATTTATAAAAGTGTACATTTTTATTGGAATCTGCACTTTCTGCAAAATGGGGGGGAAAAAGAGGACACACTCTTCACACAAAGCTTTTCAGCAAGCTAAAGTTGTTTAGGTGTCTGGAGTGACCCATTAATAGCCATGAGAAACTGATAGCTTCATGTAATTTACTGTATAAGTCTCCAATTCAAAGTAGTCTTTTTTTTTTTTTTTTTTTAATACAGGAAATGAGACCCGGGTTCGCACTGAATCTGCTTCAGAATACTCAGAGACAGATCATTTGGGTGAACTCAGTTATCGGTCACGTTCTCGCTCTGCTCCCTCCTCACTTCTGGTTGCTGTGCGCTATGGACGAGAACTTAGACGTATGAGTGATGAATTTGACCAATCCTTTACGGTAACATTTCTTTATCTCTTCAGCCTTTATTATAAGTACATTCTAGGCATATATGGTGCAAGGAAAGCCTAGGTCTGAGTTTAAAATTTATATCACCTATGTCATTTTAACAGGTCCCCACTGGTGTGAACTTGCATATTTTAGAGAGAGGCTGTTCTCTGCCCACACAAACTTTTTACTTCAGTCATTACTTCTTCCCTACTTAAAGGGACACTATAGGCATCCAGACCACTTCAGCTTATTGAAGTGGTCTGGGTGCATAGTCCCAGGTCCCTTAACCTGCAAAGGTAATTATTGCAGTTTTTCATAAACTGCAATAAATACCTTTTGAGGTTTAACTCCACCTCTCGTGGTTGTCTACCAGCTACTAGAGTATTATACATGCTTTCCTATGGGGTTTACATGACACTGGATGTCCTCATGCGTCATGTAAAACCTCATAGGGAAGCATGTATAATACTAATGCGAGAACGGCCATTGCCGTGATTGCGCATTAGGTTTAGTTTCAAACCACATTAAGACAGCTCTATTGGTATTGATACTGAAATATGTTTGTTTGGGTTTTTTTGTATTGATTTGTAATTGGTAAGCTGTGATTTAACTGTGATATGCTGCTTTTACATATTATACACACAAATTGGGGGTCCTAACATTAAAACTGTGTGTATATGTGATGTATAATTATCTTGTGCTTCAACTGTTTCTGAGGATGTTATTTTACCTTAGAAACAGCATTTCTAAAGTGATGTTGGTTTCTGGAATGTCCTGATGCCCTCCCAGAGTAATTTGTAGAAACCATTTTAGAATGGTTTGACTACTAACCTGGAACTTGCAGGGTGTCTGCAGTTCTACTTCCGGATTCTCCTTTGTAGAGAATTTGATTAGCTCTAGATTTATGCAGGGCCACTCTCGTTGGCTGAGATGGTTGTTCTGTATCTTACCTGCGTAGCTTTGTGAAGTCATCCAGTAGGAGAAGCTGAAAGTGGTACTAGTTGCTCAGGCACCCAAGCAAATTGCATTTTAAATGGTTTGACAAATTACTACAGGAAGGTAATAGGGAATTACTTGCACCATAACTATAGGCAGGATATAGTAGGATATGCCCTGCTGGTTACGGTGTTCCTTAAAGAATAGCCTGAAAATAAATTACATTTTGTGTGTGTAACTTGTTTTATAGAAAAATAATTTTATATATAATTTTTTTTTTTGTTATATTCATACAATTGGCTTATAAACATAAAACTCTTCATGTGTACAAAGGAAGTGTATATCATTATTATGAACCCCATAAAAACAATACAAACTTAACTTCTAATAATTTGAATGTCTGTGTGTGTGTATATATAATACTATAAGATAATTGAAAGAGATGCACTTTCAGACAGTTGATATGTGGTATCTGAAATATGAACTATGCAGCATAATTTTAAAATGGTAGCCATAGTCATACTAGACCTCTTTTAAGGGGACACTATAGGCACACGGACCACTTCAGCTTATTAAAGTGGTCTGGGTGCAGTGACCCTGTTCCCTTAACACTGCAACGTTCATTATTGCAGTTTCTGAGAAATGTCAATAATCAGATTCCAGGGTTAAGACTGCCTCTAGTGACTGTCAATTAGACAGCCACAAGAGGCACTTTCTGATTGCTAGACGTCCCCACGCTGTGCAGAAGGACATACTGTGTCAGTAAAATCCCCATAAGAAAGCATTTATTACTTGGAGCTTCCTTTTTTTTTTTTTTTGTACGTCCCCATACAGTACTTTTGCGTTGGAATTTAGAATACAGGTTGCAAATAACTACTCACAATGCAAACATTTTTCTTCACTGTTTTGTAAATTCATGGTGTCTATTTCCTAAAGGGCCTTCCTCGTCCTAAAAGTGCTGGAGAAGCTAATCAGCTGACGAAGGAGAAGAGTATAAAAGACATGTTCATGAATTTTTGGGGACGGCGGAAAAATAAAGGAAAGATTGAATCCTCAGATGAAGAATTGTAACAGACACTACTGCACAATGATCTCCTCTTAAAATGGTGTGTAAAAAATGTGTACAATTTAAAGGAATTTGGCTACTGTATTAATATTGTGCAAATGTGATGGTATGTGTTAAAAGGCACTCCATGCTGGAGCTGACCAGCACTGTAGTGGTTGTGGTGCCAGGAGTGCCCTTGTGCCTCTCACTTGTAAGGAGTTAAACTATTTTACAATGGTTTGACTTAATACAAGATGGAGGCACCGCTCCCACTTCCACTACCGCTGAGTGACAGCCGGAAAGTTTCTTCACTGAGCAGTGCAGGGCTTAGCTCATTGATTGAGAGTCATCAGCTGACTAGCACTGCTTAGGTCAGAAGAAGAGCTAATGCGAGCTCCTGAGCAGGAGCCTTTGGCTCTCACTGAGCAGTATTGGAAGAGAAGTGCAGTGCCCAGCAGATCCTGGTAACAAGTGAGACAGCTCTAAAACGGTCTTCTTTCTTATAGCACGCTAAACCACCAGTATGCTATAGTATTTATAGTGCTAGGAATGTTCCTTGAAATATTTTATTGTTTGTGTCAAATTACTGAATGCATTTGTATGAAGAACTTTTTTGCATTATTTCATGATCGTGAAAGATGATTATATTTTTTTGTTATATTTTTTATTTTTTCAAACTTTGCACTTGTTCCTAAAGTGTTTGTCTGCTAAAACATTCCCTTTTTACATTGGGATAAGATCTGTATATTATCTCCTATGCCACCAGTATTCAGATCTTTAGGATTGTCTTTGTTGAGTCCAGTGACTTGGTAGAGATTGATGTCTTTCTCATATCAAGCAATATTTGCCCTGCTGGCTGGCTAGATCAATGGCCAATTACTGCACACAGCTATTCTTCATGATGATATAGTTGATTGAAAAGGGGGAGAAAAGTGTTCTAAAGTAATATAGTTCATGTTACAGCAATTACGTGCAACCTAATTCATTTCCTGCACATTTTGGGAGGTTAAACATTTGCTATCACTTTGCACTTAAAAATTATTTAAAATGCTACCCTTTCATAAATATTCTACACTGATAAATTTGAATATTTATGTCCAGAAACATTTTTGAAAACATACATTTCTTATGCCTTTCACAGAGAAGCTTGATAAAAGCTGTAATGTTAAATTACATACAAGTACTAGTACTTCCTTACTAAATCCTTACAGGGAGTGCAGAATTATTAGGCAAGTTGTATTTTTGAGGATTAATTTTATTATTGAACAACAACCATGTTCTCAATGAACCCAAAAAACTCATTAATATCAAAGCTGAATATTTTGGAAGTAGTTTTTAGTTTGTTTTTAGTTTTAGCTATGTTAGGGGGATATCTGTGTGTGCAGGTGACTATTACTGTGCATAATTATTAGGCAACTTAACAAAAACAAATATATACCCATTTCAATTATTTATTATTACCAGTGAAACCAATATAACATCTCAACATTCACAAATATACTTTTCTGACATTCAAAAACAAAACAAAAACAAATCAGTGACCAATATAGCCACCTTTCTTTGCAAGGACACTCAAAAGCCTGCCATCCATGGATTCTGTCAGTGTTTTGATCTGTTCACCATCAACATTGCGTGCAGCAGCAACCACAGCCTCCCAGACACTGTTCAGAGGTGTACTGTTTTCCCTCCTTGTAAATCTCACATTTGATGATGGACCACAGGTTCTCAATGGGGTTCAGATCAGGTGAACAAGGAGGCCATGTCATTAGATTTTCTTCTTTTATACCCTTTCTTGCCAGCCACGCTGTGGAGTACTTGGACGCGTGTGATGGAGCATTGTCCTGCATGAAAATCATGTTTTTCTTGAAGGATGCAGACTTCTTCCTGTACCACTGCTTGAAGAAGGTGTCTTCCAGGAACTGGCAGTAGGACTGGGAGTTGAGCTTGACTCCATCCTCAACCCGAAAAGGCCCCACAAGCTCATCTTTGATGATACCAGCCCAAACCAGTACTCCACCTCCACCTTGCTGGCGTCTGAGTCGGACTGGAGCTCTCTGCCCTTTACCAATCCAGCCACGGGCCCATCCATCTGGCCCATCAAGACTCACTCTCATTTCATCAGTCCATAAAACCTTAGAAAAATCAGTCTTGAGATATTTCTTGGCCCAGTCTTGACGTTTCAGCTTGTGTGTCTTGTTCAGTGGTGGTCGTCTTTCAGCCTTTCTTACCTTGGCCATGTCTCTGAGTATTGCACACCTTGTGCTTTTGGGCACTCCAGTGATGTTGCAGCTCTGAAATATGGCCAAACTGGTGGCAAGTGGCATCGTGGCAGCTGCACGCTTGACTTTTCTCAGTTCATGGGCAGTTATTTTGCGCCTTGGTTTTTCCACACGCTTCTTGCGACCCTGTTGACTATTTTGAATGAAACGCTTGATTGTTCGATGATCACGCTTCAGAAGCTTTGCAATTTTAAGAGTGCTGCATCCCTCTGCAAGATATCTCACTATTTTTGACTTTTCTGAGCCTGTCAAGTCCTTCTTTTGACCCATTTTGCCAAAGGAAAGGAAGTTGCCTAATAATTATGCACACCTGATATAGGGTGTTGATGTCATTAGACCACACCCCTTCTCATTACAGAGATGCACATCACCTAATATGCTTAATTGGTAGTAGGCTTTCGAGCCTATACAGCTTGGAGTAAGACAACATGCATAAAGAGGATGATGTGGTCAAAATACTCATTTGCCTAATAATTCTGCACTCCCTGTAGTGACACAGCCTCATTTTGTTTTTATACCCAAGCAGTTTTGCCGTACTAGTTTATTTCTTTGTTCAGCTATAATTACCATCTTTGCAGTTATAGTTTTTATATAAGAGAGATATAATTACATATTCCAGTTTATTATGGGGAACATTATCACAGATTTGCCCATAATGTGTGTGTAAAAAACAAAAAACAAAAAAAAAAAAACCTAATAATGCAGCTAAAGAAAGATGTTTCAAAATAAATTAATTGTCCTGATTTACAGAGTACATTGTATATCTAGGATTTTAATCTATTTTTGGTAGTCGTAGGTCATAAATTACAAGAAGCACATTATTGTTTCAAGCTTAAAATTGCAGTGTGGTGCATTAGAAAATACCAGTTTTAAGATGGCATAGCTTCCAATTATTAATAACCACCATTAATCCTAAAGACACTAACTTCTGTTGGTTAGATTCTCTCAATTGATGTCCCCACTGATATGAGTAAACCAATTACCCCACAGTGTAGAGTGCACATTGAGAGCTGTGCATTGATCATTCTCGGCATCTGAGGGTATATTTTTATAGTTTAGAAGTTCCTTTTTACTAAAGGTAAATTAACCTAAACACCAAAACATCCTATTGTATAAAAAAAGAAAAAGATATGGCCTGGCATATGTCCCTCCTTCCACAAAAGTGGGTGCATTTGGATTTTCATAGACCCTATTACTGGGGACTAGAAGGAATGCCAGCCCCTATTCCACTACCTGGAAGGTAACTAACTGGATGCGAGCCTAATAATTGGCCACTGCCATGTTGTCACTCCTTAGCCCAGTAGAGCACCAGTGGATACTCGGGTTCCTAAAAATGCATTTGTACAAGAAGACCCTAATACACTCAGTGGGGTACTATGGCATGCTTAGTCCCACGGTAACTATAATTGCATATCCCAGGTAGCCAAGTGTCTCAAAGCCCACCTACCTCTATAAAAATGACCTACTGACCCTAGTCTATGGGGATTTACATTCTTATCCCAACATGAGAATCTATTATAGTTCTCATCATGTTTGCCCTGGATTGTGTCATAATGTGCAAAGTGTTTAATAGAAGTTTAAAAGAAAAAAAAGGTTACCACAAGTTATAGATTTTCATTTTTTCCCAATGCTTGATCAATAGTGTAGTTCCATGTTCACATTTAATGTATATAGTGTAGTATTTGTTTTCTTGATGCTTTGTTTTTTTTAACACTCATTAGCTGAGCGCGTCAGCTAAGCACTCACAAGCCAGTGATTGTGGCCCAGCAAGGAAATGGTTAAGTTAATGTGGAATTAGAGTTGCATTTCCTTAGTTTGGTTTTACCAAGTGTTGTTTAGCCCCCAGTAGAACCATCTTGGGCAGAAAAGGCATTCATGCATGTCGCACAATAAGTTAAGACACAGAAATGAAAATGCCATAGTAAAAAAAGAGAAAAATAATTGGTAAAAAAAAAAAAAAAAAATGTTTTTTTTACCTCTCCTATATCAATATTAATCCTGTTACTTACAACTCACCTGAGTCCCGTCAGGTGTCCCTGGACCAAATCCGGTCTTCTCTACTATAAGAACTATGTGTAATTTCAGAGAATAGCAAGACTTCATTTGTTTGTGGAGAGCATTTTGTTAACACTCTAATCCAATGACTGCGTTCCTCCTTTGCTCTAAAGTGACAACCAGCTTCACATGCTAGGCACCCAGGTAACTGTGTTAAAACATACTTGGCATAAGACGGTGCAAGGTTTCTCTTAACACCATAACAACAACAGCAGCAGGGTTAACCGCTAATGATTCTTGGAGTGTCCTTTTAAGGGATTAAAATAAACGTTATGATTTTGATATGTTTTTCTTTATTTGAAAAGGGCATTTGCTTTTTAAATTTCACTGTACACGTGCCTTTATGAATTGTGCAGTGTTCTGGCAGGCAAGTGGGGGGACAGATTTTTGTACTGTACTGATATGTCTGCTGCTATTGACTTTGTATTACAACTTTTTGTTGTTGTTTTTTTGTTATGCAGGTGAAAATACTCAAATGTGACAAGACTCTAATGTTTGGACTTTTGCCCGCCATTTTTTATATTTTAAACAGAAAATGCATCTAAAAGCAGATATACAGGGAAGTATAGTTTGGTTTTTGCATGATGAATTTTACAAGAAGATACTATTTGAAAGAAAAGAGTTAACTTTTTTTTCCTGTTCAAAAGTGAACACATCTGAAGTTAATAAATTACCAAGGACTGAAAGAAACACAAGTGGTTTTTAAAGAACAAATGAAAGCAGCTTCAATACAACTCAATTTTTGTAAAATTATTATTATTTTTAAAGCCTTTTTTTTTTTTTTTTTTCTTTCTAGATGTGCCATTGTTTGATAAGCAAGTCGCAAGGATGAGTTTTCATTCGTGTATTTAAAAAAAAAAAAAAAATACAATAGAGATAAAATATGTCTCGTACGCTGTGAGACAGCCTAAAGGTTCCTAGTAGCAGTGTACAATGCAGTCTAGATTTACAGGTCATATTCTTGACCTGACAAAGTGACATCTAATGACATCTAAATCGTGCCTTAGATACAGGATGATGTGCTGCAAGAGGAACGTATCTGTCCCTCTATATGTTAGCACTTTAATAAACAAGACTTTTGTTGATGTGAATGTTTTTAAGAATCTAACGTTGAACAAATACACAGTGCATTATCTGCAAGGGACCGGTTTAAAGGGAGAATGAACTTTGAAATGAAATTGTGACCACTTGTAGAAACCAGATATCATGATTTATACAAAATAAAAATAAAAAACACTATTGGCCTTCAGCAGTGTAGCAGCCAATAACCGAAGTATTCTAGTGGCATCATATTGTGCAAGGTAACTGCCTAGTGCACAGTTAAAGAACTGCAACTCTAATACAGGTGGAGGACAAACCGTTCATATCAGTTGGGGCCTTCTTGCCCAGCCCAACTTTTTATAGGGGTACTGTCACTTCCCTTTCTAATATTATGTTTATTTATCCTCTATAATTAACAAACGGTCTGTGAAGTGTTAAAAGTAGAAATTATACGGCAGCTAGGTGCCTAAATCTTGATTCCTTGTCCATTATTGCTATAATCTCTGTCCTTGGCACCTGATTGTTTTATGTTGTCTGAGGGGAGAGGACAAATGAAAACAATGTTTGTTTCTGTGTGCTTTAGCTGTGCCTGGAATCATTAGGATTTTTATGTAATTTTTGAAAAAAGGGTTAACACAAGTTATATGTGGTTTCCAATGTTTAAATACATTGTGTAATTTTAGTAGAAGTGACAGTCCCCCTTTAAATACGGAGTCTGGCTGCAAAATTCAACTTTTACAATTTTGACTCTGTACCAGTGTATAATGCACTGTCTTCCTGACGGAATAATATATACCAGCAGATTTCAACATTAGTACTGTGGCGCATTGTTCTGCTACGTGGCAAATTTAAGCGTGTTGCGTTAAGTTGTAGGGTGCATGGCTCTTGCTGTACCGGTTGACAGCACTGATTCTGCTATTGCACTGTCCAGGGCACCTAAAGAGGAGCTGAGCAGATTCAAACCTTTTGTGTTTTACAGCAATGTAATAAGATTTTAATGGCATTTGATAACATGGTGAGCTACAAAAACAAGCCATTTGTAAAAAATAAATTAACTTAAAAAGAAAGGACTTCTTTTATTTCTCCTATGGTAATTGTATTTTTTTTTTTAAACCTACCTTTACTACAATGTCGGTTGTTCATTTTAAGCAGAATATATTGACGATACTGACACCTTTATGACTGAGGTTTTTACAAGTTTGAGTACAGCAATATAGTTTGTCAGCTTTTTTTTATTGGTGACATTATAATGTCTGATTAGTGATTTGTCCATTTCAGAATGCTTTTTAAAACCAAATTCTAATCCTACACCAGGACTCTGAAGCAGATTGAACATGGTCACTGTGTTTGGGTCAAAGAGTGATGAGAGAGGGAAAGAGAGAGTTTTATAACTCAGTACTTGCTAATCTTGGTGTGTAATCGGTAGGGATCGACCAATATTGATTTTTTTTTTTTAGAGCCGATACTGACATTCTGTGAACTTTCAAGCCGATATAATTTGCCGATATTCTGCACATTTACCATTTTGGAAAATAAAAACTATTTCTAAAGGTAAATGCACAAAATACACGTGTCACGTGTAGTGGATGCAGTGTGTTTAGACAGGGAAGCTGTGTGTGTGTAGTGGATGCAGTGTGTGTGTAGTGTTTGTGTAGTGTGTGTAGTGTTTGTGTGGTGTGTGTGTGTAGTGGATGCAGTTTGTGTAGTGGATGCAGTGTGTGTGTGTGTAGTGGATGCAGTGTGTGTATAGTGGATGCAGTGTGTGTGTGTAGTGGATGCAGTGTGTGTGTGTAGTGGATGCAGTGTGTGTGTGTAGTGGATGCAGTGTGTGGTGTGTGTGGTGGATGCAGTTTGTGTGGTGTGTGTGGTGGATGCAGTTTGTGTAGTGTGTATATAATGAAAGCAGTGTTTGTGTAGTGTGTGGGTAGTGTGCGTAAAGTGAATGCTGTATTTACTAAATGCAAAGTGTTTGTTTGTGTAGTGTGTGTGTGTGTATAATGAATGCAGAGTGTGTGTGTGTGTGTATAGTGAATGTAGTGTTTATATAATGCAGTGTGTGTTTGTATAGTGTGTGTACATAATGCAGTGTTTGTGTAATGTGCATTATATAAACACACTGCATTATATAAACACACTACACAAACACACTGTGTATATAATGCAGTGTGTGTAGTGTGTGTGTATAATGCAGTGTGTTTGTGTAGTGTGCATTATATACACAGTGTGTTTGTGTAGTGTGTGTGAGGGGGCATTTTTTTATTAAATCATTTATTTTTTTTTTATTTTTTTGTTGTCCCCTCTTCCTGCTTGTTACCTGGCCAGGGAGGGGGGATATAGCAGTCCTTGGTGGTCCAGTGGCATTGGCTGAGCTGTGGGGGGGTCGGCAGCAAGTGTTTACTTACCTCCCAGCAGCTCCTCCAGCTTCCCTGTGTAGATCTCGCGGCCAGCGTGTTGCGTGGAACGTTGCCATGGTAACCCGTGACAGCGCTCTGACGTCCGCGGGTCTCGCAACATTCTCGCTGGAGGAGCTGCTGGGAGGTGAGTAAACGCTTGCTGCCGACCCCCTCAGGACTGCCAGGCTTGTAATGAGCCTGACAGTCCTGTTATATATTATCAGCAATATCGTTATCTTAATTGGCCGATACCGATATTGCCGAAAATACCGAATATCGGCCGATAATATCGGTAAAACCGATCATCGGTCGATCCCTAGTTATCGGTACATAGAATGCCTCCAGTCAGAACAATCAACAGAGGCTTGACAGCATAATGCTGTAGACATCCAGCAATAGCCCAGTACATAATGGAACTTGTATTTGAGACACCCAGAGACCCCTCGTGCAGCTCTATTGTAATAGGCGTTTGAAGGATGTGGCATAGTGCCTCAGAACAGTTGTCTGGTGTGACTTCGAAGGTTATTGTTGGGATGCATCACTCATGAAGCATCCAGCAGTAGCCAGATCATGCAAGCATCATCTACAAGGCCAACAACAAGGGTACACCTACTGTCATTAAAAGGATACTTCGGGGGGCGGGGCCGGGCGGCCATGCTAGCAGGCTGCAGGTCACTATGGCTCCTGAGGAATCCAACTAATTTTGAGCAAATACCTACCTTATTCTGCCTGGAATACCCTGGAAGTTTGTGGCATCAAGTCCTGGAGTGTCCCGGTGCAGCTAGAACGCCTGATACAGGTGATTCTGGGTCCTGGAGAGATGCTCTGGGGCTTGGGGACTGAGGCCTACTCGGGAGGGGAGTGGGGCGGACGGCCGCTGCCCCGCTTTCTGCCACGGCTAATGCGACACTACACTAAAGCTGACGCCCTCCCCGGCCTCGTTCACCCCCCCCTTTGGACCGGCGGGGGTCATCCCGGTCCCCACCAGGCAGGCAAGCAAACATCTCTGCATCGCTGCTGGGTGACTCGACACCGAAAGCGGCTCCCACGCGGCCTCCTTAAAATGGCCGACGGCGGCGCAATTACCCTAATGGCAGAGCAGGAGAGGATGAACCCCTTATGGCGCGCTGAAGAAGAGCCAGCAAACCACATAACCCAAGCTGTAAACACATCTGGAATACGACCGCAGACGGGCACTTACACTGAAGCGGCAATCCTCTGAAACAGGCTCAGTACCTGCTCCATCTAAGCACGCCTTACCAGCGCTTTCCACAACTGAGGCTCGATATCAACACTGGAGGAGTGCTCAGAGAGGCCATCTTCAAACGCCAGCTCACCTAAATGCAGCCCGCACCTGGACATTGTGGCTTGAAAAGCACCGAGCGCATACCCACCTAATGACCGGAAAGTCTGTCAACGGCAATCTGCAGACCCTGTGCGGGACTGAGAGACTCAGTGAACCTCGTGGGTACCCTACAGGGAAGCTCCCTAGGCATGGGAATCGGCTACCTTTTCACACCTTCCACATTGTCAGAGCCAGCGGTGACCCCAGCTTCTCACGACGAATTGCACCAAAGACACAGTCGGAAACTGTCCCCGACAGCCTCAATAAGAGATTACTTTGGCTGCATTTACTGTTACTCGGACATCCCTGCTGTTAATACCGCAGTTACTGTTATAGTAAATATTATTTTTATTCTTCTGCCTATTGTTGTCTACCCAGTATGCTAAACTATGCCTGGTGGTACTATATCCAAATATCCAAGTACCTACCTTAGCTAAGCCCGAGAAATTTTTGTCTCACCAAAATGTCAGTATGTAATTCTATATTAGTACCTCATAAGCTGTAACATCCACCTGACAGATAGGATTAACTCTCAACTAAACTATTATACTGTCAGATCGCATACGTAGTTCATTATCACGCTAAGTAAACAGTAAACAGAATATGGTACCTGAATGTAATTTTTTTTTTTTTTTTCCAAAAAGTGCAGCTTTCAATAGAAATTAACATTTTTCTAAATTAACCTGGCTCTATTCCCTGACTTTCAATCCGACAACAGGTCCTGTTGCTGCCTGGTTTGGTTAGCTCAGTGGTCATAAACTCAAGAGGCAGCAGTTACCCAGAGCACCTGCCTTGCAAAGACTTCTTATTGAGCTGCATTGGGAAGTTTGTGATTGGACAGACACAAAGTCTGGGCGGGATTAGAAGGGGAGGACTTGCAAATGCTGCAGACATGAGAACTGCAGGTTTTGCAAGGTTTTTAGATATACCCGAATTGGGGGGGGGGGGAAATGCATAATTAAATGACTGCATGTTTTTCATTGTGGTATATCTACTAAACAGTGATTTTTATTATTTTGGTTGTGGATTGGCTCTTTAAGGCAAGCGTTTGAAAGGCATTAACTAAGCACCATAACGACTATAGTGTGGCGTAGTGGTTATGGTGCAAAAGGCCTGGTGCTTTCCCACAGTAGGATGTCCGTTTTCAATGATTTAAAACTTAACTGGGTGACTTTGGTCCATGAGGTCTCCTCTGTGTCAGATGAGCCTTAACCTTTGAAATAAGCCCTAATAGGGACACAATTGATATTGCTAACAGAATGGGAACACCAATTTTAGCGATAGAAGGTTGGAAGGGTCGTAGTTGCCCAAAGGGCTAGGTAAGTGTTCAAAACTTACTGATCGATCATAAAAGCCATTTGTGTAATTTGAATGGCCATGGACTGATTAAACATTTTGAAATGATTTTCATTTTGCATGTTCCTTTGAGCAGTAACAGATTTAAATCCTAAATTAAAAACTGAACAGTGTATTCTAAAAAATATAACATGGAAAACTGTGTCACCAGAGCAAACTAGGCTTCAATCCCAGTTTCTATTCGGTTTTGGTTTTCCCTTGACTTAACTGTTAAGGACAGACATGACTTGGAGGCATGACTGGTATGAAAGATAAGTTGGATTAAGACGCAAGATGTGGGCACAGAGGACAAACCTGATCTTTTGTAGAAAATACACCAAAAACATTTATTAAAAGCAAAAAAAAACAAAAAACAGCAAGAGCTATACTGGAAATTAACTTGATAAACGTTATGTAAGATTGCATTGAGAAATGTGTTTGTCCTAAATCCCAGTGTGATTGTTCTGAAATGAATGAGTGCTGTACAAGACTTTCTGCATTTACTATGCATGGTACTACCTATTCTGGGCATCATACCCCATAAGTGCAGTGTGCTCTAGTGCAATGAGACTCTAGGAATCTATTATCACACTCTCCAGACATTCACAAATTATGGTTAAAGGGACACTATGGTCACTAGAACAACTACAGCTTATTGTATTTGTTCTGGTGAGTATTTCCTTTTTGAGGTCTTCTGATGGATTTTGCTGGTTCTGCATATTTAAGTGGTATAGGTCCTTTTGATAGATCAGTAGGGACTCCCTGTTTTTTTTAGTTATGCCGTCCTTCTTATCAGTACCCCTCTGGCTACCGCTTTGTGCGCCGCCCATATAGTGGATGCGGCCATGCCTGGCGTACAGTTGTCTTTAATGTAGTTCGTAAGTGTAGTTTGTAGTTCTTGGGTGAACGTTGGGTCTGTCAACAGGGTCGTGTTAAGCCTCCACGGACTTTTGTGTCGGTAGTCATATTGGTCCTTGAGTGTGAGGGTAACAGGGGCGTGGTCTGACCACGTGATATCGCCTATGTCACTCCCGGAGAGTCATGTAGGTAGAATCCGTCTATGCGGGAGTAGGAGTTATGCACTGAGGAGTAGTGTGTGTAGGAGTGTTCCTGTGTGTGGGTTATTCTCCGTGTATCATAGTAATGCTGTGAGTGCAGTAGTTTTTGTAGTTGTCGGCAGCTTCGTTTGAGGGTACGGTAACTTTTGCTGAATGGTGATAGTGTAGTATCGAGTTTAGGGTCTAAGATGTGGTTGAAGTCCACACTGATTATCGTTGTCCCTTGCTGTATTTTGGTCAGTTTGCTGAATATGTGGTGTAAGAAGTTGCGTTGGTTGACGTTAGGGGCGTATATATTGGCTAGTGTGATTTGCATATTGTTTATTAGGCAAATTATAAAAACATATCTACCCAACTGGTCGATTTCTTGACTCTGGAGGTTAAACGCCACGTTTTTTCTGATTAGAATTGACGCCCCTTTGGATTTAGTTGCAGTCATGGAGTGAAATTGGTGGGGGTACTCTGTCAGTAGTGTCGGGATAAAGTCACCTGTCCTATAATGTGTCTCCTGGAGGCATACTATGTCAGCTCCTAATTGTTTGAGCTCCCTACCCAGTAGATGCCTTTTTAGCAGGTGTATTTAAACCTCTTATGTTATATGTGCATATCTTCACAGGGGTTTATACATGCACAACATTTGAGTAAATGTAGTGTATAGCGTCTTGGTGTCAGTTAGGGGGCTCACCCTTCCCAGCTGTGTCAAGCAGGGTGTCCTTCCCTGAGTGTTCTGTCTTGTTCGTCCCTTGTGTGGTCGGAGGTATCGGAGTGGGGATAAGAAGTAGCTTCGACTACCCACCTGGGCATGAGTTGGGGGAAAAAACAGGGTTACAACACACAATGTAACAACTATATACATTCGCGTCTTAGCGCGTGGTATGCGCTGGAGTCTAGTGCCATGGGGGTAGGAGCACATGGCTCCTTCCTGGTTCATTTTGGTCCAACTTGACCAAATACAGTATTATTCCCCTGAGCCCAGCATCTAGGACCTAAAGAAGTCAATTTACATACACATTTTTTATTTTTTTTGTCATTATAGTATATGGTGTCTGATTCAACCTTCTGAACCTCATCTCCCTTTGTTTCCTTGTCTGTTATATTTAGGATGTAGTAGTGGTGCCCTGACCAACGCTGCCCTCTGCGAACCGCTAGGTATTGTGCTCTTTTCTAATTGTCGGTTAGTTCAAAGGGAGCTGGTGCCTGCTGTTTCATTGTGGCCAGTAAAAGAGAAAAAGGAAGAATTCTTTCCACATTATGAGCGGAGATAGGGTTCCCGCGCTTCCCTCCTAAGCCCCTCCTCCCAGTGTTAATAGCTTAGGGTTGGAGTGTGGGTTGTGGGTCCTAAGGGGCAATATGTGTTTTCGTTTATGGAGTTGTGGATTAGGGGAGCCCCTGGTTAGCTGACCTCTCTTCCCAGCTAATACCTTCTCCTCCCCTCCACTCCCCTCTAGGCCTGTACCTTCATCACGGGTATGGCAGTCCATAATTGGCCAGGCATACTCGGCACCTTTAGTCCTGTAAGTACAGTCTCTTCTCTCTTTGTTGTTTTTTTTTTTTTTTGGTGGGGTATGCGTCTCAAAATTCTGCTGCTGTGTTCTAGCGCCCTTTTCTTTGGGCCTTTGCCCATCCTGGCGTGATTCTTGTTGTATCTTGGGAGGATCTCGTTAGGTCAGGGATCATGTAGCCCCAGCTGCGAAGCAAGTCCAGTCCTTCCGTCGGCGTGGAGATCGTCGTTGTTTTGTTGTTCCTGTGCACCAACAGCCTCACTGGGAATCCCCAGCGGTACGGTAAGCGGTTCTCCTGTAGCACTCCGGTAACCTCTCTGTATTCCCGGCGTTTTTTCAGGGTGTAGGCAGACACGTTCCCAAACCACTTGGGGCATGTGTAGGGCTCCGGTAGAGACTTCTTGGCACGATTTGCTTTTAAGATTTCATCTTTAATGTGGTAATAGTGTATTCTGATCAAGACGTCCCGGGACACCTCAGGAGCCAGGAATGTTGGTTTCGCTGTCCTGTGAAGGCGGTCAATCAAAAACCTTGTTGCGGGGATGTCTGGGACTAATGCCCGTAAGAGCCCGGTAACATGCTCGGTAAGATCCCCCAGGCCTACCGTCCCCGGTATATCTCGAATGTGGATATTATTGCGGCGTGCGCGGTCCTCATTGTCCGCAAGTTTTGTTTCCAGTTGATCAAGCTTAACCACCATGCCGTCCATTTTACCCGCCATGGTGTTATGGGCCTCCTCCAGCTCTGCCAGTTTGTCCTCTGTGGTGGAGGTCCTGGCGCCCATATATTGTAGGTCTTGGCGGAGGTCGGTTAGTGCTGCGTGGAAGTTTGTTAGTAGCTTGGCTGACATGTCATCCAGCATTTGCTATAGCAGGGTTTTTATCAGGGTCGGGGCCTGGTCGGCTGTATCGCCGCCATCTTGGATCGCCTCTGTTATCGCCATGTTCTTTCCGGCGGCTGGCCTGGGGGCAAAAAAGTTGGATTTTTTTTCCTGCCTCTCTGTGTTCCGCTTACTTTTGGGCTGGGACTTGGTAGTTTTGGGCTCAGGTCGGTAACAATTGCTCGTTAGGACGGAGCAGCAACTACATGCGACTGCCTCGAGTTGCGTCCAGGACACGTCCCCTGGTGAGTATTTCCTTCAAGCTTCCTTTCCTTTAACCCCTTAACGACGAGTGACGGACAAGGTCCGCCACTCGGGGGATTGCCATAACGACGAGTGACGGACCTCATCCGTCACCCGTTAAAATTAACCTCGGATCGCGGCGATCGCAGGGTTAATGGTGCTCCGGTCTGCCACTGTATTAGAGGTAGACCGGGAGCACCCGATAGTGCTGCCACAGCACCGGTGCTCGCTCTGACAGGCTGTCAGAGCGAGCACATGTGCTGTATATACTCACCTTCCGCCTTCCTGCACTTCCTGGTTCTGTGTGAAATGCAGGGAGCCGGAACAGTGATAATCCTGCCCCCTGTGTAAAAAAAAATAAAAAATAAAGTTAATTTGAAATCCAACCCCCCTTTACCCATTTTAATAAAAAATTAACCCCTTCCCTGCCAATTGATCACTGACTAGTGATCAATTGGCAGGGATTACATTTTACTGTCATATGATTTTTTTTAATTTATTTTTTTAACCCCTTAAAAATGGTAGGCCTTTGTGGGGTTTTTTTGAACAGTCAAACTGGTATAATACCCCAAATGGAAGCATAGGCTCATTAAATCTCTCTCAAAATTCTACTGTGTATACTGAAAAGAACAGGCCTCCTATATGGCACTGTAACTTCACGAAATCGTGCCAAAGACATACAATGGGGGTGTCATTTTACTCAGCAGCTGTAACTGAACACAAAATAAAACTTTGTACAGGAATAGCACACACCAACTTTACAAAATACATATGAGAATTTCTTTGTTATAAGTTTGTGTGCCAAAAACCAAAAAAAACACAATTTTACTCCAATATTTAGCAGAGGTTGGCGGTGAAATGGCTACGTAGAAAGTGTCAAAACAACCCTAGGTAAATAGCCTGTGATGTCTACTTTATATAAATATATACTTTTGTGTGGCAATTTTGTTTTCTTTTGTGGCTATTAAGCTTACAAGACAAACATACCAAATTCTATCTAAATCGCTCCACATTAAAAGTTTACTTTACTCCTTATGCTTTGTGACCTGTAACTACCAAAAAAAACTTAAATCCCAGACACGTTATATATTCTGTATGTCAGAACAACTAAATGAATTTATTTTTAATTACATTCCTTAACCTGCACTAATTATGCACACATTATGATTGCAAAAACTGTAAAAAAAAAAAAAAAAATAAATAAATAAAATTTTCATTTTTCTGTATTTTTTTTTTATAATAAATAAGCATTTATTTATATATATATATATATATATATATATATATATATATATAATGTGTGTGTGTGTTACATCAAATTAAAGCCCTTTCTGCCCTTTAAAAAACTATATATAATATGACGGTGCAATAAATTAGTAAAATGCAAATTGCAGTTGAACGCAAACAGCAAAAAATGAAAAAAATGCTGTTGTCATTAAGTGAAAGACAAGCTTCTGAAGCTCTGTCCTTAAGGGGTTAAGCTTTTTGCAGTAAACACGGTCTTTTCATTGTGATGATGTCAGACAAAGGGGCAGAGCCAGCAGCAGCAGACTGCAATAAAGGTAAGATTTTACTATATTGGTGGGGGGCAGATGTTGTTTTTTACACTATATGGCCAGGAATAGATGTGTGTGTTCCTGACCCTATAGTATTCCAGAAATTCTTGGCATCTGAAGAAGAGTGACCCTTTTTAATGTTCTACCAGATAACTGACACTTGGGGCATCTACATATTTTGTCATTGTAACTGTTTTCTCATGTCAGTGGGTACTGCAATCCACGAAAGGTTACTCCAACCGTCACAACCGCTACAGCTCACTGTAGTGGTTATAATGCCAGAAGTACCCTGGTCCGGTTCCACTGGTAATGTGGCAAATTATTGCTGAACGATGCAACCTAGTGGTCCAATGATGGGCTTCCAGCTTCTGAAAAGGTCAGGCAGCTATTGCACGTACTCCTACTGACCCGATCTGTAAGGCGCTATATAGTTTAACAGCATCCTTTCATCCATCACTATCAACTCGATGTTAGATCCTCTAAAGCAGTGGTTTCAAAACCAGTCTTCATGGCCCACCAACAATCCAGGATTTATGTATTTCCCAGTTTTATTCCAATGGAGATACTGACCAAACCTGGATTGTTGGTTGGTCTTGAGGATTGGTTTGGGAAACACTGCTCTAAAGAATTGGAATTTAGCACAGTGGTCCTTTCTTCATCCTGAATAAATATATTTTTTTAACAGCATTTTGGAGTTGATGGTTCTATGTTTCCCTGCTTAAGTGTTTAGCTTGGGTATGACCCTAGCGTAGTGCTGCCATGACCAGGAAAGAGGGAAAATTAAGTCATTCTTACCAATATTTCCCTTTTCCCATGATGGGCCGTGGCAGCACTACACTCACTCCGGCCTGGTTGTGTGGCTAGTTATAAACTGGGGTAATTAGGCCATGAGTTATTTATAACTTTATTCTAATTTTTTTCTTCTGTACATTGGTAGTGCTGGTGGTGCTAACCCTAAAGTAGTATTGCTATGGACCATCACAAGGAAAGGAAGTATGAGTAATTTTCCCTTTACCACGTCCCTATAGGGCATGTAGCAAAACTGCAATGTCTAACTTGTTTTATTAGGTATGTTGTGGACAAAAATATTAACCCAATTCATATTAATAAAATGCCTATTTACTCAGCATAACCACAATCAGCATTATTCAACTTCATGTGATTTACCTAAAATGGCCGCTAGGGAGTTTCCCTTTGACATCGACTAACACCCTAATTAACAAGATGGCACTGGAATCTGGGGGAGACCTCCAAGATACCAGTGACATCACACCCGGTACGAAGAGCATTAAATGAACCACTTAACACTTAACCAATTATTGATGTATTATTCCATGTTATCTCTGACAATGCATATGATGTAATTTTGCTTTATAAAGGGCATGCCGTCCCCCCAGAATAAACATTCCTTAAGTTTTTCATTAACCCGAAACCTGTGTCTGGTGTGAATTACTTCAGGAGCGTGCACGCATCTTTTTACAGATACACAAGATAATCAATTGATTGATTGATTCCACATCATTTGGCGCCCAACGTGGGGCACCAGGTTTTGCCGGGTCGGACGGCCGGAAACCGGGACTGTAGCGGACCTCTGGAAAGTGGGACAACCGGAGCCTGATCACCTCCTAAATACAGTGGTTTGCCTGTATTCTCCTGTTTTGTGTCGGTCTGTCTCCGTGTCCACTTCCGGCTTCCAGAAGGCTACAAGACAGGTAATCTCTTATACGGTGCCTTTTAAAACGAACCTGTCGATTGTCTATCTGCCTCCTGAGTGTTTGTGTGCGTGTGAGACAGCTGGTGTATGGTTTATGTTTTATTATTATAGCTTGACTTCCTAGCAGGCAGGGAAAGCATCCTTTCGGTGAGGGGCTGGAAATTTATTATAGCTTGACTGCCTAGCGGGCAGGGAACGCATCCAACCGGTGAGGGGCTGGGAATTTATTATAGCTTGACTGCCTAGCGGGCAGGGAACGCATCCACCTGGTGAGGGGCTGGGAATTTACTATAGCTTGACTGCCTAGCGGGCAGGGAACACATCCGCCCAGTGAGGGGCTGGGAATTTATTATGACTTGACTGCCTAGCGGGCAGGGAACGCATCCACCCGGTGAGGGGCTGAGAATTTATTATGGCTTGACTGCCTAGCGGGCAGGGAACGCATCCGCCGGTGAGGGGCTAAGAATTTGTTATAGCTTGACTGCCTAGCGGGCAGAGAACGCATCCGCCCGGTGAGGGGCTGGGAATTTATTATGGCTTGACTGCCTAGCGGGCAGGGAACGCATCCGCCCGATGAGAGGCTGGGAATTTATTATGGCTCGACTGCCTAGCGGGCAGGGAACGCATCCGCCCGGTGAGGGGCTGGGAATTTATTATGGCTCGACTGCCTAGCGGGCAGGGAACGCATCTGCCCGGTGAGGGGCTGGGAATTTACTATAGCTTGACTGCCTAGCAGGCAAGGAACGCATCCACCCGGTGAAGGGCTGGGAACCGCCTGGAGAAAGGCTGGGAATTTTGTCGTACTGGTCAGAGCAGAACAGGGTTTTATTTACTAAATAATGAAAATTGGCCAAAGGGTCGATGTCCTAGAGTCTATAGGAACAAAATAGGGGGTAACCCTCAGAGAATGGAGAACAAAAAAAGGAAAAGAGAGTCTGTTCCCACAACCAATATCGGATACACACAAACTGTTAAAAATCTAGAAGATACTTTATTAATGAATAAGGAACACCAATCTGAAAAAAAAAACAGCAATGGCTGCCTGACTAAACGAAAGTCAATTACGGCAGTCAAAGCAAAGAGCACAAAAAGAAATAAAGGGTAAGAGAGGAAAATAAAGGTTAACATAAGCGAATAAAACAATAGATTGCGTTTATAAACATCGCATATAGCAATATAAATAAATGACTAAAGTAGAATTAATGCATAGAAGGTACTCCAACTATGTAGCCTAAATAGGCTTATCGAAAAGGATCCCACTAGGTGGAGCTACACAATGTCGTTAGCTATAATTGTATTTATGTGTCAGAGATAAAATACAATACAAAGTATCCCACTAAGTGGAACTGCATAATATCTTCAATATGATTGTATCTATGTATCAGACCTAAGATACAATACAAAGTATCAGTGCAGTTCAGCTACAGGGGCTATTTCTACAATCAAATATAAACTCAGTCTGTAATAGAAATAGCGAATGAACGTGTTCAGTTGCAATATCTTCAATAGTACTTGTGTAAA